ACCTTATTTTGCAACTAAAATTTGTTGCCTGTAGCTTTTTATTAGTTACAGCAAGTGAAATAAAAGCCAGACAAGTCTAATATAACTCTATTATCTCCTGCTACACCAGGGTGAAAAGCAATAACACTGAATTTTTAAAAACCACCTGCTGGCATCTGTTTTGCCCAATGGATAACACAAGCACTCAATAAACCTCTGGAAAGCAGCCACTGAAGCAGAGTTTGCCAGGGGGAACCCTCCTGACCTGCAGCCACTCTTTGCTAAATGAAGTAGCCGTGACAATGACATGGGCAAAAAAAAAAAAAAAGTATTTTCAACTTGGGGATCTGATTTTCAGAAAGAAAACCTTGAAGCTGGGCCAAGGAGTATTTCTCCTCCTTGCCTTCAGCACTGCTGAGTTTGCTGTGCCAGGAACTTTGGCTTTCCCTGCAGCATCTGCCCAGGAGCTGTTCCCTCCCCAGCACAACTCCTGCTTTGGATGCTGCACCTGCAGGGGAGGAGGAGAAAAGGGGAAGGTGGAGGGGTGTGGGAACTCAAAACGTCCCTCAGACATTTTTAGAGGTTCCAAGCCCCAGTCAAAAGCGTTTAAAACCCTAGCAAGCAGCTAGAAATAACCGTAATGTTAAGTTTAAGCCATAGAGTAATTTACCAACTTTACAAGAAAAGCAAAGAGTCACAAAAGTTTAAATATTATTACAAAAATAAATACAAAATAAAAAAATTAATATTATTAAAAGTTTTAACACCTATACAAAAAAGTTTATTTCATACATAAAAGTCAAAAATTTTAAAATAAAAATATCTAAACCTATCCTATCATCCTTCTTTCTTCTTCCTTACCTCCATGTTTTTAATATTAGCATTCACAAATTAGTTTAAAATAAAAAACACCATTTAATATAAATAATAAATATTAAAAAGACTATAAACATATAACACATAATATGCCATATAAAAAATAACACCAACCCTAAACAAAAAAACCAAAAAACCCAAAAAACAACAAAAAAAAATATCAAAAATATACATACTTTTACCTAAGCTACTAAACAAACCACAACAACCCAAAAAACAATCTTTCAAATAACTTAGAATACTAACAACCATAAAACCAAACAACAAGAAACTACTAAACCTTTCTTTAAAAACATTAATTAAAACCAAAAAAGTTTTCCACCACATAAAACCACCCCACAACCTAAAATAATCTTCAACAGAGGGGGAAGTTTAACCTATGAAAGGGGACCAATAGTTTCAATGAATAGCATGGAAATAAACTTAGTATCACCTAATTGTAATTGCTGCTCAAAGATTTTCAAGACTGAAATAAATTAAATCATGCAAAAAAATAAACTAAATAATCACTTACCTTCCGTGGTTGCATTTAAAATGTGCTGCTTCCCTCCTTTGGGGATCCACACTTTTCTTTTTCTTCTTGATCATTACAACCAAGCCAGAAGGCCATTTTAAGTCTCAAAACAAAAACAAACAAAAAACAAACCACACTAATAGCAGGTTAAATGCAAAGAAATTATAGATATTTTTTTAATAACTTTAACAACTAAAATCTAGAGGTTTTATTTCAGCTACATTTGCATGTTTTCTGCTTTTGTTCTGCCAGAGTAGATGGATGAGATGCCAGCAGTAATCCCTCAAAGTGTGCCTATGACTTCCACCTGGATGTTCCATTTTACCCTTTGCAGTATTTCCCCTTTTAATTGGGTATTCCACATCCAGCTCATTACAACTGGATTTGTTCAGCTGGGCTGAGGAGACAGGAGAGCAAGGGAGAACAGGGTCTCTGCTACAGGAGGCTGGGAGCCTTCTGATAATCAATTCTTTAGAACAGGCTGAGTTTATGTAGTTAGGTTACTGTTACAATTTACAGGAAATCGCTTAAATTATCAGGTGGGAGGATGCACTTAGGTAGGAGGGCTTAATTCACCACATATAATAAATACTAGTCAGAAAACAGGCACGTTTCAAGAGGTGGATGTTTTCTGATTAAAGGAGTAAAATAAGAGAGGAAGGAAAGCACTTTGCACATGGGCAGTACATTCTGTCTCTGCCCATCTTTAGGATAGGCAGGATTCAGGTCTGCACAGTTTGTACTGTCCTTCCACAGAATAGAACTTCAACGAGTCCAAATCCACCAGTCTGCTTCTAAAAAATTTAATTTTGGGTTTTTAAGGTGTTTCTTTTCCGCTGAAATCAACGGGAATGGACAAAATGCACTTTGCCCGTGAAGGAACTGCGAGATCCCAGCTCCACAAACAATGACAGCACGGCACTAACTGCTGCAATGGGTGTGGAGTTGGGAAAGAATTTGAAATCAGCTTGGGAAATGAACAGATATTGACTTTGCAATTTAATCTTTCAGTACTGCAGCCCTTGGAGAGGTGAGAACAGAGCTCTGCTGAACCCCTCTCTGAATTAGCCTTTATTAAAGCTTTTGCCTTGAGTATCTGCAAACACCTCAGCAGCATCCACCTCCTGGATTTGTTTTGCCATTCTCCCATTCCTACAGAAGCCTCTTAAACACTTCCCTCCATCCTTTCCTCACTCTTATTTTTTCCCCTTCCTTATCTTCAGCGTTTAAGTAGAAACTGAACAATTTACTATGAGAATTCTCAACTCAAAAATATCAGTGGGTCACTATCAGCCTCATTAAAGAATTTTATGTCACTGCTCGGATCTGTGGGTATCAGTTTTTTCACCCTCAACTCATTAATGAATGGTTACATAAATATTAAAGTTGTGATGAATTATTCTGAGAAATAAATAATTATAAAAAAACCTCCAAACCCTACTCTTTTGTAAGCTGTTATTATTCTCCTTCTCCCCAGCAATTACATTTTAGTTGAACTTTTAGAATACAATTTTAGGCAGTAAGTGATCACCTAAACCAAATCCATTCCCCATTGAAGAGTCAGTGACTGTCCTCATTTTCTGTCTCCAGAGTCAGCTGCACCAAAAATGATCTCTCAGATTATTTGCTCAGACACTCAACATCAACACCCTGGGCCAGGTTTCTTGATGTATAATAAATGCCTCTCTCTGGCTGCAGTGTCTCTAAACTGGCAGACTGCATTTTAATGAAAGCAAATGATAAATAATTTGCAATATAGTACTAATAATTTTTACACTACAATCAAGTATTTTATGTAGTCATTTTCCCTAATTATTCCCCCTGAATCAATTCCATGTATATGTGTGTATATAAACACATCCACACAGAATTAAACTGAATTTTTTCAGAAGTACTTCAGAAATTGACCCAAGTTAGGCAATTTTAGACACTGTTGGTCAATATGCTTAATTTACAGACTGCCTTTATTGTGAAGCACAGAATGATCCAATTAAAACTCTAATTAGGGCCTGCCTTTACTGAAGCCAAGCTGAAAGACCATTTTCTACACTTTTCACTGAGAGAATAAGTAAATCCATTATCAGAAAACTGAAATAATTTGGACTTTTTTTTAAAGATCACATCAGGAACTGAAAAGAATTAAGCCCATTTTTAAAATTCAGCTCTGCCAAGAGAGTCCCATGACAATATTCACCGTGAGCTTCCCTCAGGTTGTACAACCACCAGTGGAATGTGAGCACAAAGATGGGGAGAGAAACTGCCTGTGGGACTGACTGAGCTCCAGGGATGAACAAATTTCACAAGCTTCACTGAACTGAAGAATATTTATGCATCCCTACAGACTCAATTTTAAGCTTTTGTCTCATTTTGTTTTTTTGTTGTTGATCAGGGAAGGCCAAAATTATTCATATAAAACAATGATAGGGGTAACCAGCACTAATTGTGCTGCAAGATTTTCTCCAACTAGAAGTTCCTTATCTAGACAACCTAAATGCCCAAAAAATTCCTTATTTCCAAAGGTCCTGGCTGGCCTTTTGCAAAAGAATCTTTCAACAGTTACTGAATACTCCGCTCTGCTAATCAAACATTCCACATAATTAATACAAGACTGGTGTTCAAAGACAAATGCATGCAGCATCTCTGTATATTATACAGAATCTCTGTATATTGACCAGCAAACACAATTTTACCATTTCCTCATTGCCAAAGATGGTCAAACACAGGTTCCAGAGTTATGGTTTCACTGCTGACTGAAGCTTCCAAATGCAAAACCAAGAAAATACAGACTATAAACCTCTGGGGATACTTGCATAATTCAGTGCTTTGAGGGAGGAATTCTCAAAGGGTTTAAAGGAGTTAAAATGGTATTTATTTTAAAAATTCATTCAGTTCACTTTCTAGGTTGTGAGAAGAGAAAGGGAGGGGGTTTCTTTCATCACTGTGCTTTTCAAAACTCAGGATGTGCAGACCGTGTCCTGCTCTAATTTAACCCATACTAATTTTATGTTTGCTGCTAGAGTCTGGGAATTAATACTGCTCAAACACAATGTTTCATTGGAACTAAAATGGGAAATGTGACTCAGATGTACAAAGGAAAATCACTTCCTGTGTTAAACGAGCCCTGAGCATTGTTCTGTCCAGAAGGCAAAATGACAACAGTAGCACAACCAGCACTCAATTCCAATGATGGGCTTGTATTAAATCAAGACACAAGAGAACCTCAAAATATTTTTATTATTGTAATGAGACTGCAATATTATCTAAATAAACTTTTCCATCACTATTACACTATTTTCCTCACGAAGGTTCCAGTTGGGAATGCCACAAAGTATCCTGCAACCTGCACACTTAAAAGTTTATAGAAACATTCAGTATTAAAAGGCCTTTGCAATATGTTGTTGTTTTTTTTTTTTAAACCCTCAGAGTTATAAATCCAAGTGTATACTGAAGTAGATTTATCTCAGAGACCCACTGACAAACAGCTTCAAGGGCTGTCAAAGAACAGGTTTGGGTGTTCTCACAGCTCTGTGGGAGCCTTGTCCACAAGGGCTGCTACAAAAGCAAGATACTGAGCAGAGCTGTAGCAGTCACTGTGAGCCAGAATTCAGGCCACTGCTAATTAAAGTTAATTTTGATTAATTCTGCTGCTCATGTAATACTTAAGGCAAATTTCCTTGTATACTCACTTTCCCAAGCTAAAGCAACAACATAAGCACAATTCACAATACACTGAACAAAAGGTATTTTAAGGTTATTTATGTAAGATGTGACAAGAACAAAAACAACACATTGCAGTTATAACTCCTACTTTTCTGCTCAGAATGATGAAACTCCCTTTTTCAGTTTGTATTCAAAAAGACTTGAATAGTCTATACTTTCCAATTTTATCAGAAATGTTATTTAAGATTTGAACCAGAAGTTTTCTGGAGCTGGAGATGTCCCAAAGCTGATGGGAGTTCTGAACACATATCCACAAATCCTTGAACAAAAGGAGAATCCAATGCTCTGTTACTGTAAGTAGACAACACAAAAATTACATTCAAATGAGAGATATTTTATAGGATTCTTTTCATGACAACAAACTCAACTTCAGTAGCTCCAACAAGCTGAGAAAAAGAAGAATTTAGGTTTTTAGCCTAAATGCCACAGCCTTGAGGCTGCAAGGGCAGTGTACCACCAGCACCCACTCCTCATTTGTAAAATTTCTCATCAATAATACAAAGAAAAGAGACAGGGATGCATAAATCTGACATTAGAAACAGTAACACAAACAAGAACTGAAATACTGGCAAAAATCAGAAAAGAGGTTTTTGGTGGCATCCTTGTGTATGTGGACCATCAGATATGTCAGCAGAAGTATGTCTTGAAAAAGCCACTGTTTTGGCTTTGCACAATGCTTTTTTCACCTTTTGTTAATCAGACATTCAGTAACACAACAGAGACTGGGGACAGCACCAGCAGAGTCCTGACCTTGCTGCTCTGGAGGCAAAACCTTCCCCCACCCTTTGACAGGCAGAATTCAGCCCCCAGAGTGCACACTTAAAAATAAAATGGAATATAACAATCACTGAACTGGAAAAAGTGATGTTTCATAGACTTGTGGAATGTTAAGAGAACTGAACTGGAAAAAGTGATGTTTCATAGACTTGTGGAATGTTAAGAGAACAACATTTGTAAATGAACCTGTTAAAGATTCCATCCCAGGCAGTTATGGAAATGACAATACAATGAATTGATTTAAAATAACAGTAATTTTAAACAAGAAATTGGACTGAAAAAACCATGATGTTCCAGGAAAGAACTGTGTGCTTTGTGATCTCCATTTATTTTAAAATATATTTATATTTTTACAGTACAGACTAAATCATTTTTACATATAAATACAACAGTATTGAAGTTCTATTAAGATTTGATTTTTAGAAGTAAATGGACCAGACTTTGACACAGGTATAGAAGCCTTTCAGCACATCTTTAAATTTGATTCCTGCTACAATTGAAAAAGTGGAAATATTATTGTATAATTTTATCATCAGCTTCCTTCCTCTCTTGCGAAAGTGCAAACAAATTTAACAAAAAGCAACACCACAGTTCTTAATCCTGACTTCCAACACACTTAACATTATTTGCTCAAATCCCACAGATCAGCTATTACAGTGATTGAAGAGAAAAGTGTATTTTCACCCAGTGGAATTCCAGTCTGCCAGACAACCTCACAAACACAGAATTCTCACTCCTGTGTCACCTCCTCCTTCGGCTGCTTGAGTTCACTCAGAAGCTCCTTCCCACTTTCTCCTGCTTTGGAGGCAAAGAGAGCAGCTCCCTCCTTAAAGCCCAGGAGCTTCAAGCTTCTGGCATAGTCTGCATACACAGCGTGGATCAATTTATGTAAATGAAGCATTAAGGAAAACACAAATTAATAGCAAAACCGAAAACAATCTGAATCCTTCCCCCATCTTCTTACTCCTTGGCTCTCCCAGGGTGAAAATGCTGAACATTACTACCAATTGTGCTAATCCATTATTTTTCAGACAAGTAAGAAAAAAAAGTTGCTTTAAATCCTCCTTTTCAACTCATATTAGTATTTATAAAGCAACATGCAGAATGCTGTAAACTAAACCAGATACATTTCAGATACGTCTAAGTACCTACCATGCTACAAAGGCATAAATTGTAACAGAAATGTTAATGTCACAAAGATTTTTTCATTCATTAGACCTGAGGTTATCTACATATTAGTGGCATTTTTTATTTACAGGCTGATGACTCCATAGAACAGGATCAGGTAATATTTACATATGCATTAGTTATAGTATATAATACAAAAGTTTGTATAATTGCTCAGCTTTCCAGAACAGCAGGTCAGATGTGAAGATTCAGTGAAGAAAGACAGGATTTCAGAAAAAGGATATTTGTATCATCATTAACTTCAAATGCCCCGTACTTCAGACAGGCTTCTACAAATAAAGCTGCTCTATCAAAGTACCTCATACTGTTGAATGGAAAAAAGAATTTAAAAGAGAATAATTTGTTATTACACAAACCAGAAAAGTATTCGAGGGCATCACACCAAAACACTTGCAGAGAGGCTTTCTAAAACTTTTTTAGATCTCCCCTTCTTCCTTGTATGCAGGAATTGACACTTGCTATAAATTTTCCTGAAAGATCAGGGCTGAAATTACTCAGAAAAAATCATATATACTATAAATCGTTACTGCTTGGTCCATGGGTGCTGGCAATCTTAAAGCCTGTAATAAAATGAAATGCCAATCATTGCCCATAGGTTAAATCTAATTAAAGAAAAGTATGCTTGTGGGAAATGGATTTGTAGAGAATTCTCGAAGTTTCACAGAACGTTCACATAGTATGGAAACTGTGAGATAAGAAATACTGACTAAGAAATGCTATGGAATAGGATAGACATTGTTGAGAGACAAATGGAACTAGAAACAAGTTTTAAAGGATGGTTTTGCAAATAAGATTATATACTTCAGAGAAATATAACAAAAACATTTATAATGTATTGTAATTAGAAAATAGTTGGCTTCTGATTGTGATAGCATGAATTATAATATCTGTATTGTCTCACCCTTCACATGAAACTGAAAATGGAATAAAATATTTTAAAATGCCTCTCAGTTGCCCCATCTCTGGGTCAGAAAAGGGCTTAGTCCAACACATGCGAAAATAGAAACAGATGTCAGAAATAAGTGTGGACAAAAGAAAACACAGCCTGTGCTGCTTCACCTTTACCTGTGTAACATCTCTGCAACTTTTGTGAAGCAGCCAAGAGACAGGAGGACCAGAATGGCCTTGGATTTCTGGTTGACCTGTGGGGAGCAGAGGTGGTCGACCCAGCGGCGCAGCACGTCCGCGCACTCCTCCGAGCCCAGCCGCACCTGCGGGACACAGCGGAGCCTGAGCGAGCTCCCAGCTGCCACAGCCAGCCTCAGCAGTGCTTCCCCGGGGGGAGGAATGAGGTCTGAGCTCCAGTGAGTGCAGAAGGCTAATTAATTACTTTATTAAACTATATTATACTCGAACTATGCACACTAACAAGAACTATCACTAATTAACTAACTAGAAAATGCGTGGCTCTCTCCTGGGAGTCCCGACACACACGTGGATCCAATTGGTCCATGAATCCAAAACACTATCACCAGAATCCAATCAAGCAATCACCTTGGGTAAGCAATCTCCAGACCACATTCCACATGGGCACAAACACAGGAGCAGCAAATGAGATAGGAATTGTTTTGATTCCCTTTTCTCTGCTTCTCTTCAGCTTCTCTTCAGCTTCTCTCAAGAGAAATCCTGAAAAAGCTAAGTCTCTCTCTGTTCAGAGGGCATGTGAATAACCACAACCCCACACTCTGCTCTTGCTGCACTCTGCTCAGGGCAGCATCCTGAGCAGAAGCATCTGAAACCATCAGTTTTTAATAAAAAACTATGCATGTTACTTGAGTTAATACGGCATTAAGGAAAATCAGATATATCTTGGTATAAAAGCACTTCATTTGGGTCACTCCATTTTTACCTGTGATTAACATAATTTTTGCCCCAAGCTGTTCTAAAGCTTTTCTAAATCAAGAAGTTACTCTTCAACCTTTACTGAAGACCAAAAAGAAAAAAGTCTTATTTTTTCTGAAAAGCAGCATCCCCCACTTAGTAAACCTAAAAGTACAACTTTTCCATTCTTTCTTCAGGAAACAAAACAGAAACTTTACTTAAGAGATGCTGAAAAATCCTTACTAACACCTGTCCATTTATAATGTGGAGAATTAAGGCTGTGTCTGGTAGTTTTGCTGTAATTATGGCTGCACACCAAAACAGAGGGTGATGCCAATATATGTGGGTGGTGGTAATTTTGAAATCAGCTCACACACTACATAGAGCTCATCAAAAAGTCACTGCCCAGTTATTATCCACACCCAGGAGTGTGTTTTTATAGTTTATTACCAACTTTATTCTGCTGCAGCTATATGAACCTTCCCAAACTGCTGAAAAATTAGAAAATGAAGTATTCCAAGTCTTTTAGGCCCCATTGCTGTAATGTGGTCAACAAGGGGACTATGTGGTCAGAAGGCTGAAGAATCTGCCAGCGCTGATTGAATGGACTGGCTTCTCGTAGCTGCATAGTATTTCTAAATGATGTTTCAGTGATTTAGGGAACTTCAGCACCTTCCTCAGCCTTCCTAAGCACAGGTGCTAAGCAGGTGGTTGGTGTTCTCAGCCCAGAAGTGAGGAATTACTCACCTTGGCCAGCCATGCTGCACGGTTCCACTCGCCGTAGGTCTGCAGGTAGCGACAGGCGTCTGCAGCTTTGTCAATCAGACACAGCAGCTGCACCCCCTCTGCAACAGAAACAGGCACTCCACTCAGGAAATCCAGGGAAAAAGAGCTGCTGCGTGTGGGAAAGGATCCCCACATCCTCAGCACATGAAGATGTTGAGACTGCTCTCCATAACGCCAGTTATTGCATCTTTGTTCCGGGCTACAGAGGCCACACAACGCTCTCCTTTATCTTTGTTTTGAACACTAATTTAGGGGTTCACAGGACTTCTCATCATAAAAACATGATGATCTTTGTATATTAAATACATAAGAGTTCATGGGAACTTCTTTATTTTCATTTAATGTTGTCTACAGTGCAATTATTAACAATCTACAGAGTGGAAAGTAGTTTTTTCCAGGCAAGTACAGACTTTTAACTTTCTCAGCATGTTTGAGTATTTCAGTTATATGGTTGTAACTGAAATAATTCAGTTATGTTTCAGCTTTTGCATTAAGCAAAATTAACCTGTACTTGTAAGAAAACACATATTATGAAAAAAGTCCTGAATTGAAAAGGAGACTACATAAGTATTTCATGCTTTGTAACAGGGACACCAAATTTTAGTTAATTCTTTAATTAGAAAAGTGGAAAATACATATTATGTGCAAGCAGCTTCTCTTTGTGAAAGCAACTGCTAAAGATTTACTCCAGAAATAACTTTTCCAGTGAAAATAAATCAAGACAAGTTAGATTCTATAACTCAATTACTGATCATTTTTGTGTTAACTACTCTGTGTAGTGTCTAGTGCAGCACATGAAACATGTAAGATCCATCACAGCAGGATTCACTCCTATTTACACTGGCATCATTAAAAATAATGAAAATTATCAGTTCACAAGCAAAGAGAAAGAGATAATTTACCTGCAAGCTTTCCATTGGCTATCATGTTGGTTGCTACCAGTTTAATGGTGCTTTGGGATGGCCCTGACGAGGTGACAGTTGTGACCAGGCAAGCTTTGAGTGAATCACAGTAATAATGTACATTCTCTGAACTGGTTTCCAGCAGTAGTTGCACTGCTCTGTCAGTCTGGCAAGAGAAAAAAGTGCAGCTTTGACCACAAAATATTCATTTTGTTTAAAAGCCTTTCTATTTTTACCCTTTTTAAGACATGGAACAAATAACAATGGAAGTTATTCTAAAACAGGCTACAGAAATATCTCCCTGTCTAGTAGTGACTAAGATTCTATTTTAATAGGACATTTGCAATAAGGACAGCATTGAAAACTCATCATGAATTTAACATAAGAATGCAAAAACTCTGCACTGGGTTCATACAAGTAGGAAATAATAAATATAGTTAGAAAAAACTTTCCTTGAATAGGCTAAGTACACAAAGCAGACAGGAAAGAAGAATAAAAAATTCAAATATTACCCACAAACCTGGCCCAACAGAAGAAGCTGATCAGCACATTTCCTGGTATGATCATATGTTGATCTCTTCACTTCCTGGAGATTTACCCTTTCCAGCTGGAATTTCTGAACAAAGAAGGAAAAATATTTTAAATGTAAGCCTACCTTAAGAAATAAAACCAGGCTTTTAAAAAATATTTACATATCTTGCCAGTTTTTGGACCAGCCTCTATTTTTAAGTGCGAGGAATGTTTTAATCCAGACTGGTATGTTACTAATAAAAGTGAAATATGTACAGGAAAGTGAGTGTTTATTGTACTGATGACATTCCTATTAAATTTGGTTTTGAACTCTTTGACATACCTGGAAGTAAGAATTTTCACACAGCACATCATAGCATATATCCAGAGGATTAAGCAGCTGCTCTTGAAGGACAGCTGTGTCTGGTTTTGCAGGCTTTTCCTGGCATAAGCTGTGCAAATAGTGGGCAGCAATAGTCCAGAAATGCAGTTCAGATTCGTCCCCATACAGTCTGAGAAGATACAAAGCAGGGTGTGAAACAGGCTTGCATTTTTTCATACACCACATAAAATTATATTTCATTTTCTCAAGGACCATGCATTCCTGTGGACAACACAAATACTTTGTGTTATCAGTGGGACACACTATGAAAGAGGATTATGGAATGATATTCAACAAGGTAAGTTACAACAGCAATTAAACCCCAGGAATGTTCAGCATAGAAATATGTGGAAATTGACATTTATTATTATTTTGCACTTAGTCACTGATATCCTCTTTCAACCACAAAGTTTGGAAACCATCTCTGAATACAGACAGACTAAAATTAATTCAGTTTAGGCAGAGGAACCACACAGAACAAATACACTTGAAATAAACCCCAGGCCCTCCCCTGTTTGTACAGAGCGATTGTGAAGTTCTAAATGACATTTTGGGGCATGAACAACTCAATGTAATGTGGCTGCCAGAACTGCAATTATAAAAGTGCCACCAAAACTGAGGGAAGTTCCTTGTATCCAGCAAGCAAATAAAAGTGTTTCAGTGAGGTAACATTTCCATTTTAGTCCTAAAACCACTCTCTCAAATGAGTAACAAAGTAGTCTGGGGACAGTGCTAAGTTAAAGGACAACTGGGTGAGTTCCTTAACTTTAGCTCATTTCTATGCATTAATAGAAATTTTCCTAGGAAACATTTCCTGTGTTTATCTGAATCTCTACTACCTGGCAACCAGGAGACATCTCTGCAGGAGAGTAAAATCAGGATCAAGCAGAAGTTTCTTTATGTCACTGCAAAAGACAAAGTGTTAAAGAATCTGTAAAATGCTGAGCAGGACTGGTTGCTTTTGAACACAACACATACAAACTGAAAAGATCAACGCCCAAAATACACTATTTCTTTTCTGAAATAAAAAATTGCATTTATGAAAACAATTAAAACAGGAATTATATATGATTTGAAATATAACTGATGTCCAGGGGCAAATGCAGGGGGTCAATCAGGAACTCTTTATCCTTGCAATATAGAGAATCACCACCAGGGTGTATGCAAAGCTGCCAATTAGTCTGCAGTAATTCTACTAATTACAATATTAATTCAGCTACACATAATCTTGCAGCTATGTAGTCTCACAGCAGAAGGGATGCACATGCATGAATTTAGGCTTTCCACAGGTGTTTCAAACGGGATAAAAATAGGTTGTTACCTTTTCCATCCTAGTAAATGAAAGGACAAAAGGAAAAGGGACAAAATGGTCTATTTACTAGCTTTAACTATAATTTTCAAGGTTTAAATTGAATGCCAAAATCTGTTTTCTGTGTAAATACAGCAATGTGCATCAACATTATTCTGGAATTTTATCTTCAACAAAGGATTTCTGGAATTATCTTTTTTTTCCTCACAGCTCAAATATCCTAACAAACCTTGGAGTATTTAAGTAGAAGTGTCCAATGCAGTCTGAACCAGCATAAAGAATGTCTAAATCCCTGAGAAGTACTGCTTAAAACATTCCAAATGCTCACAGGTGAGTTGCAAATCATGTACTGACCCTATCTGCACCTTTAAAGCACCAAGTTTAAAATTACATAAAAATTACAGAAAAAGTAACTTTTTTTTTTTAATAAAAACTGTCATTTCTCAGGCATCTTTAATGTACATCATTAGAGAAAAGAATTCTTTCTTCATTAACTGAATTTTCGCAAACTTCAGATATTTTGCCTTCTCAGAATTCCATAGTTTACACAAGTAATAACAGAAAAATTCTTACTTGGACAATGAATTCAACTGCTCTTGAAGAAGGTTTTTAATATTTTCATTCTCTGGATAATCACTGGATTAAAAAAAAAAAAAAAGGACAGAATTATCTGAAATGGAAGAGCACTACTTGTAGGAGAAAAACACAGGCACATACATGGAAACAATCTTTCATATTCTTAGTGTAAGCCATTAATGCAGGATTTTTTATCCAGTTACCAGTTCCAAAACAGCAGTGAAATATTTGGTTTACTCCCATTGAACTTCAGAGTAAATGCCAATCTTTCTATTCCCATTTTTCTTTTTTTCATTAACCATAAAATTAATAAAAATGGCGATGCCCAGAGCATTTTTAAGTGACCATGAGCACAGTCCAGGACACAGAAATGTGCTCCTCTGACAATGTGAATGTGGCTCTCCAAGAGCACAGACAGGTCTATCAGAATATCACTTCCATTTACACTTGAGGAACAACTCTGATGGCTGCATTAACTTCTAGAACAAAAAGAACACAGTTTTTCTCAGAAGTAATATAATGCCATAAAAATATTGCCAGGACTGAAAGCAGACTGCAGCTTTTAACAGCCAAGTGCTACTGAAAGTCAGAAAAAACCTTAAGAGTCTTAGCTATGTGTACCTTTTAGCAATAAATAGTGAGATAATTATAATTTTGATTGTCCCCAAGAGTGAGGAAACTTATACATCCAACAGTTATTTGCACAGAAAGACTAATAAAATCTGTAGGTTTTAAAAAATAATGTTATATATAAAACTATATTTCTTCTTACATGTCCATAATATCTAGAGAATATTTCTCATCCCAAGGCTGATGCAGCAGGAATGCTTTTAAAGCTAATGAAGCCCTTGGAACAAGCAGATAGGGACACCAGACAGGTTCTGAAAGAAAAGGAAGAGATTCATTATCCAGAAAGTCAGAAAATGTACCTCCAGAAAATATACTACAGAAAATGTGTCACAGAAAATGCACCACAGAAAATGGACATCCAAAAATGTACCTCCAGAAAATGTACATCCAATATTCTATCTCCAGAAAATGTACACCAGAGAATGTATTACAGAAAATGTGCACCAGAAAATGCTCCAGCTTGTTTGCAAACACCAGGAAAATAATACATAAAAGTCTTTTCACACACCAAGCACAGGCTGCTGGACATAAAAGCTTTCACTACACTCAAGCAAAAACATTGCATAGAAGGTACAGGCTTATCAACCATGCTCAATTGAGAATTTCAGGATATTCCATAGTGGGTTTAGCCACAGACTCCTGGAATTCACTGTACTGGCTTTGATTATTGCTGTACAATTATCTGTACAATGATTATTGCTACATAGTGCAAAGTGAGTAAAGCTATGCCATATGTACCATAAAGAATGTTTAGTTTTGCTTTGTCCCCTAATTCCTACAGTACAATACAAGGATTAAACCCCATCATCTGGAAAAGATGGTGGGAAGTTTAATAACATACAAATCATACATCAGGGCTGTCACACAAGTGCAGAAGTCAGTTCAGTATCCAGAACAAGGTGTGGGTGACAGGCAGCAAACGCTACCCAGTGACTGAGGAGTAGAACAAGTACCAAAAGCAGCTCCATCATTAAACATTCACAATTCCCTGTACTTCGTGTGCACTGAGTGATGTAGGACTCTTGCAAATGTGATTTGGCAATTAAAACATTACCACAGAAGGACAGCTCAATCACAGCAGCCTTAGAGCTGGCACAGCCTCATCTCAGTGTGCTTGGCTTTACAACATCCATCTTTATAACTTATTATTGCGGAACACTCCTTTGATAGCAAAAATGGCTGTGATAAATTACATGTTTCCTCAAACAAACCCACACCACAGCTCCCCACATCACAGTTTATTGCATATGTCTTAGAATCTACTGGGTTTTAAGGAAATGTCTTAAGGAAATTGTATGAGTAAAGGTAGGATTGACTCAAAGGGCAACAAGAAGAAGAGTTATTTGGAATACCAGTAATAATAAATACAAAAAAATGTAGTTTCTTTAACTAGTTAAATATTTAAACTTCCTTCTTAGATATATGGCTAAAAAGGTAAATAGCACTAATATTGCTATTTTAAAGGTCAGTTTAAAGAGCAATGAATCAGTCTACAGACACCTGAAAAAATCCCAGAAAATACATTTTTACCCATCAACAAATGTTTCTAAATCATGTAATGAGTATCAGTGATGCAGGTACTGATACCTAATTGATATGTCAATGCTTTTAAAATCAATTTGCTATATATTTGTACAAAAAATGTTCTTATTTTCTTCATTTATATTTAAATTAAGATATCAAAAAGTATGTGCTATTTCGGAGATTAAACTAGTATTAAAAAACTCATGCATATGACTTAAGCATAAAAGATTTAGCTGTATCTATGAAAAGCAGTAGAAAGTAGAAAATCTGCACATCAACTCCCAGTTCTAACAGAAGTGCTGAGCTCCACTTTCCAAAGAGGAGTGCAGAAGTATCAAGCAGTGGGCAGCAAAGATGACATGAGCACACCTATTAAATCCTGCTCATCCATCCTGAAACACGAGGGCTTCATGGACAGGTCCAGCACTCGGATGCATCCATCATCTGATGCCAGCACCACTTTGTCTGACGTGCACCAGTCCACGTCCAGGATCCGGAAATTCACGTTCCTCCCACTCCTTAAACTGCTCACCATTTGTACCTGCAAAAGTTCAGTTATTTTTTTATTTTTAGCAGCCTCTCCATCACCCAGTGTGAGGCTGTGTCACACACCCAGGAGGCACAGCAAAAAATTCACCATGAAAGGTGAAGTTAGCCATAAATCATTTCAATAATGGTCTTTTCTGGAGAGTAAGGAATTTAGAAACATTGGAGCAGGGCACATGGTTGCCCTGGAATAATACTATTTCCCAATTTAGGGTTAAGAAAAAAATCCTTCTGAGCATAGTGTACAGCTGCCTTTTTGTTATCTTTTCTAACAGGACAGGATTAGATGTATAATAGAACTGAGACTATAAAATATTACTAGAGATGTTCTGAAAGGCTTTTGACTGAAAATGTGAATTTAATTTTAAATGCTTTCATGTAGGAAATTCCTTTATCCTAGAAAAAAATGAGGGAACAGCTATGGGAGGAGTACCTTGTGGCATCAAAATTATTCAAATGTACTTCAAGGAGAGACTCATTGGGTAATATCCTACTCTACTTATGTAATTCATAGTAGTTGTTCATATCTGCTATCCATTCTTATCATCAGTGGAGTTTCATATTGCACTAATTAAGTGTCTGAGTTTGGAGCTGGTGCTCATTACAAAGTGAACAGGAAAAAAAATTAAAATTCCTCTTTCATACCCTGATACCTTGACCTTATTCCAGGGGCTAAGTTAAAACAGCACCATTGTATTTCCTGAGCCATGGTACTATAGTTCCCTGAGAGACCTAAAAGCAAACCCCAGAAGGTTTGTGAACATAACTAGGAAGTTTCTGAGTAAGAAGAGAAGCTAGAGAATGTTAATGAACAGATGTCTGGTTTTCTGGTAGTCCCTAACAAATTACATCTCTTGACCATACACAGAAGAAACCTGCTGTGAAAGCAATCTCCTATCACAGATTAAAGTTTCAGACTGGGGACTCCCCCTTAAATTTTCAAGGTCTGCCTCAAAACCATGGCAAAAGGATGACAAAGAGAATCTCAGACATTGTCAGCTTAAAGAGTGGAAGACTCTTCTCATTGATGCCTTATAGGGAGTAAAAGTCTTGTGAGAAAAGCCACGTGACTTTATCATACAACTGCCAGCAAGAAATCCTGACTCAGTAAAACCTAATCCCTCACTCATCCTGATCTGCAGAGGTGAGGTGTGGGCTTTGAAGAGAAGTGCCTATCAAACCCACAGCCACTTACCTCTTTTGAATCCCAAATTTCTACCCCATCGTTGTACATTGCAAGAAGTTTTTGATTTCCTTTCCCCGGGGCAAACCGTATTTTTTTCACCCAGCTCCGGTGAGTAGGAATCCCCCTAAGGAAAGACAAGATTAGGATCCACATTCTATACCCAATATTGTAGGAAACTGAATCCTTTCCAGGAATTCTGCAAATCCTGGTACTGCACAGACTGAGGAGGAGGACAATCTCTCTATAGATGCACACACAAATGAATGTCCAGATTGTGAATTTATCAAACTGAAATGATGAAATGCTTGGAATAAACACTACAATACATAATGTTTAACCAAAAGCCATTGCAGATTTAATGTAAAAAAAGATATCTAACTGGTTTTAAAACCTTGATTAAATGTTAATTCTTCTGAAAGCACAAGAGATGAAATGTAGGGAACTGTGACACAGTAGACATTTTCTGAATTTTTCTTCCAAAATATCTGCATTTTTCCCTAGAGTGAAGAACAAAAATGAGGAAGGATGAAAACATTCTACATTCTAATACTCATCATCTCATGTTTGACAGGCTTAATTTGCACTCATACCTGGATACTCTAGCTTTCAAATCCCAGAAGTTTAAGTTTCCATCAACATCTCCAAGAACCAGGATATCTCCTTTCCAGGCAATACAAGTAATGCTACCCATACTTCCCTGAAAATATTTAAGAAACAGAAAAACATCTTGTGATTAAGAGATTCAAACATATGAATAAATATTTCAACATTGGTATTCATTAAAAAAAATTATACAACACGATAGGCCAAATTCAGTTAAAACAGGAAAAATTATATATAAAACTGTGAAAATAGAATTGCTACCAATTTTTTAAGTTGGAATTCATATTTCAGATTTCAAAGGACTGCATTACTGACCACTTGCTGCTACAAAGCTTATCCCTGATGTTTTTCTGACAATCAAAGCTAAGCAAAATATTAAAGCATCAATGATATAGAAAAATTAGAACTCACATCTGGAGGAATTCTTGCACTGTCTTTTACTGAGTTTCCCTCTACTGTGAGATGATAAACCTGCCCATCAGCACCTGTAAACACAAAGTGCTCCCTGGCAGAGATATTCTGGCTCAGCTCTGATTTACTTTCAGCTTCCTGCAACAAGCTTTAAAAAGAACATGAGATACAATTATTTCTTTCTTGAAATCAGAATTGCAAGGCAAATTCTACCTCATGCACAGAAACAGCACAAAAAAAAAGAGCCTACATGCTTCTAAACACTTTGTGCAACACTTAACTATTTATTACTTCCACTCTTGTAGAAAGGGCAAGTAACTTGTCCAAGGGTAAGAGTTTTACTTGAAGAACCAGGTAACCAATGGACTGCCACAGTCCACCTGAGAGTAACAGGTACATCAAAGTCCCCCATATACAAACTAAAGGGAGGCCCATAAAGCTGTTTTGCTTACTATGCACTCAAGAACCAGTTCCAAAATATTCTTTTCATTAGAAGAATGGCATATGGTGGGAAAGGAACAATTGCTGTAGCCAAGGACTCCATCAGGAGGGGGGATACCTGATCACAGAGGATTCCACACTGCTGACTTCAGTGTCTGATGCCACCGTCTGCCGGGCCATGGCCTCCCTGGCTGCCAACTGCTTCTTCCTTAGGCTCTTTAAATTATGGGAAGGTGACCACTCCTGTGGAAAATGGCCCAGGAAAAATGGGAAAAACAAAGGTTTATTCCCTGAATTTATTGGGGCTTTATAATAATTTCCAAGGAGATCTGTAGTACCTCCCTCCATCACCCAAGGGGCAGAACAGATTTTTTCATCAGAACCTCAGTTTTTCCTGCCTCCATTTGGTGACAGATGAAATGTTAAAACTTTTCTCTGTATATGCTACAGCTACACTAACACTTGCTACAAAATTGTTCAAAGATATTATACTATTTCAATGTATCACATTTATTAGAAGGTAACAGAGTTTATTCCTTACCAGAGCAGTGGCTATAGGGAATTTAGACATTTCTCTGAGCAGAGTGCAAGTTCTGACATCCCAGATCTCCAGTGGTTTGTCTTTAAATACCACAGCTAGGTACTGCCTGAAACAAATGAGAATTTACTCCAGCAAGAGTCATTTGAGCATTTTACTTCATGCTGTTCACACCAGCACTCTAGAGACCCTCAAAAACTAGTTAGCAGAGCAAATCAAATCCCCCTCAGAAGCTTATGATTCTCTTGAGTTACTGAGGAGCAAAACAATGTCTGAAAAAGAGTTCTCTTCAAAACTAACAGAATTATAAATTTCTGCCAGGTGGTTCTGCACAATTACTGTGGAGGAGACAAGGGGAATAATTCAGAGAGAGCAGCAGCACCTCTGATCTCACCATGTTCAGCCTGGGTTGATGGCACAAAACACCAGAAAAACACAGAAGACTGCAGGCTGGACAATTTTTTCCCTCCTGCAGATGCATGCCACTTCCTAATCCCGGGATAAATGAAAATAAAATCATCCCACACTAAACCACTTGCCAGTCATGTCTTCAGACTGCTGATCTGTGGAGCTGGGTGAGTGTAAACACCTTTAATCCACCACTTTTCACATTTAACTTGAAAATGCAGAGGCCGCAGCAATTTGTCCTCTCAGGAGGCACTGCATTGATCTCTCTGCAAGTGAACCTCCCTTCTTGTCTCACTCTACACCCTCCAGCCTCTTCATCTAAGCCCATGGCTGCTCTTAATTTTTAATGCATTATTAAGAACATTATATGGTTGAACTCTTCCAGATTCTCTGGAGTTTCTACCTAGAAAAATACTCCTGTGCAAGCTAGAGAATTTTTTTTCTTCCACTGTAAAGAAAAAGCTTTTAAGATTTAGAGATAATACCCTGTTAAAATCAATACTGCTTTAATTTTATTTATACAAGAAAGTGAAGTCATTTTTCAGAGTACTACAATTATTATTTTTGATACAATGAAGATCAGGGCCTCCTGTCAGAGGCCTGAGCTCAAAATAATGTCTTGAAAGGAAACAAGTTGGTCATTTATCAGATGACTTTTCAAACAACTGTATCTCACATCTGATTTTCTAGCAGACAGTTATTACAAAGGTGTGAAATACTTACAAAAGCTAAATAAATATGAATAATCATCCAATCTTTAATGGCAAACTTCCTAGTTCTAAGTAAGGCTTAAGTTATAGAAAAGAGTATTAATTCATAACAGAATCAAAGTTGAAAAAAAACAGTTCAGCACTTTTATTCTTCTCAACTTTATCAAAAAGCCTATTCAGTAAACACAATTCCTGTAAGAAATAAAATATTAATTACTGACTTTGCAATGTGATTGGATCCTGAAGTGACAAAGTCAACCACAGAAACATTCACAGCTTTTTCACTTGGAATTAATATTCTGAAAAATTTTCCTCTTGATGTTGTTGAATATTTTCCTATACACTCTGAAGTGCTTTTTGTCTTGGCATGTCTATGATGTTCTGAGGAATTTTATGCAGTACAGTGAAATTTATAAACTTCCCAAGGATGATGCACTTACTTCAGATGAGACACCTTTATCATTTCGATGGCTGGCTCGTCGTTGCCTCGCTCCCCACGGAATGCAACGCTCCTGCCTGGAGCACAGAACAGGGGGAGAACAGCAACAGTCAATAAACTACACAGAAAAAGAGAAATTTAAATAGAAACTGCTCTGTCTATGAACACAATCAGTTTACTAACCAAACCAGAACATCTCCAAATCACCTGTCATCTCTAACGTTGTTATTGTCCAAGTTTTACAGTTTCATTTTACTGCATTTCAGAGTTCATCAATAAAATCTCAAAGTTTACATTAAATATATTGTAAACTCCACTGTCAAATACTGTCCTGACTCACTTCCAGAACACAGCAATTCAAATGGATGCATCAGGATTACATAAATATAGAGAGAGAGTTCAAGGAGTTATTATTTTCCACTCAAAGTCAATGAGAGATTCTCTCAATTTCCCAAGGAGGAAATTCATTACAGATTTCAAGTTTGATAAGAGAAATTAACTCTGCCATGAACTTTGATAGTATTTCATGGTCAGCTACATTCTACACTTACCAAAACCATTCTCTTTTCCTTTCCACCTAAAGTAGTAAATCTTAAGAGTTTATAATCTCATTCCCAAGAAAATTTTCATCCACTTGTAGGAAGTATTACAGAATTATAGGTGTTAGAGATATTATTAAAATAAATAAATGACCTACAAACAGTATCTTCTATGCAAGTTTCATTCTCCTTAGCTTTCAAGGAAAATCCAAGTGATAAACTTTAGCTCCTTTTGTAGCTCACAGCAAAATTACTGAAGCAGCTATATGAATAAATCTAGTTATCAAGAAAATGAGTTAGAGCTCTGCTGTCAGAGGCTACTGGAAGTCTGTCTCCTCTATTTTTAACATCTTAGCAATTTTCTTTCATATTTTTGTTCAGAAACGTACATATGAATTTTATCAAAGCAAATCTGAATAAGCAGAGTTTTCCTAGGCCTAAAATAGAAAGCCGGGCTCCTAAGTGAGGGAAGAAGAAAAAATCAAACAGTTAAACTGCTGTGCCTTTCTTGAAAGGTTTAAAAGAGGAAATGTACTATTTTTAAGCAAACCAAATGCTAAGGTCTCATGTTTTCACATGTATTCAAAACGTGGTTGCCTGCAGAAATTCTGAACCTTTGATGACTTCTGCCTATAGATGTTCTATACTGATTCACAAGGTGAATGAAAAATCAGATTCCCATCTTACATGAGATTAATTTCCCAGTGCAAATCTTTTCTGTTTTGATTTTAAACAGGTGAACAAAAGACATTATATGAAAAAACTTTACAATAATATTATTCTACAAGAATAACCTCTCTGTGCTGCACCCTGGAAATACAACTGAGGTCTTACCATAACCTTAAAAATACCAATTAAAAAGTCACTTTGCATAAAGCAATTCAGAATTAGCCATGTGCTACAAGATTCAGGCTCTTCAATTAGAACTTAAGTGGCTCCAGCTTTTCACATTCAAAAAGAATGTAAAATTATTGAAGTGCTTCCTGTTCTGGGCTGTCTAATCTCTCCAGTTAATAGTTCTTCTTGTGCAAATATTGAGTTCATTACAAATGTATTTATCACCCACTATGAGGCCAAAATAGTTGCAAGCTGTTAATTTTGCTGTCACCAGTATCTTTTAACAGTTATTTTCTTTTTAACCTTTCCAGTTCTTTATAAAAGTACCAGTTTTTATTGCTTTAAATCTCTTTTACACTCATTCACCATCAAATCCTGACCATGTGCAACACAACACAACAAATGGTTCAACACTATTTCAGGTGCACATGAAACAGTGGGTGCAGATTTGGAAACACATTTGGAAATAGGGAAATATATGCAGTTTGTGAACAAAATCCACCACTAATACCCCATGTGGCTCCTTCTAAACCCCCTGCTGACACTTATTCTTTTAATTAGTCCAAGATGTTTTTGCAAAGGTGCTGGTTCAAGTCTGTCTGTCTGCAGAGCACCAGACAAAACACATCTTGTGGTTTCACAAAGAAGAGCAGGAAGGGTTAAAGCTCATTTATTATTTTATTTTGTAATGACAATAGAAAGAATTAAAAAAAAATAATAGTCAGGACTTGTCACTCCCCAGCAAATCTGTCAGCTCCTGGAGCAGATTTCTCAGGAAACACAAACCTGTTGGAAGGTCCACCAGCTGCAGCTCATTCCTGACCAGTCCCAGATTGTTGGGTGTTGATGTGGCAAAGGAAATGAAGCCAGTCAAGCTGATCCACTCAATTCCCCTGTGATCAGAAGGAAATACATGGAGCATATCAGCCAAAAGATTTGAATTGCTACAAGTCTGAACTGAAGTATTTTTTTCACAAATATTCTTAAAAACCCAGCACAGATGTAATTTTCTACACTTTCTGGAAACATCATATTTAAGCATAAAAAGAAGCTACACATTAACAACTATGGTGTGAATATAAAGTTACTGAATTAAATTTTAGAGCAGCTTTCTTTTCAGACTGCATTAGCTCTACTTTGGTTAAATAAAAATTCAGGTAGAACCACTGTTAACTTCTGCAAAAAGCCCTCTCAGATATCAGCACTAGAGTGGATTAAAAGCCCTGCTCTGATCAAATCAGTGGTTACTATCAAATAACTCCAAATTCCCAGCACACAGGAAAATATTGATGTGGGTGGCAGTGTGGGTTGCCTTATTTTTTTCAGTCCAGAGAGAGAAGAAATAAAGATGATATAAAAAGAGAGGCCTTGAAGAGATTTTACAAAAGAACCATAAATCTGGCCTTTTTTTTGTTGTTGTTCTTTTAGATCACACCAAAGCAGCTCCCAAGCAAATTATGTTGCAGTGCTGCAAGGATGTAAAGTTCCACTGCTTTAATAAACAAATAAATAATAATAATAAATAAATAAAATTGAACTCAACAGAACATATTGGCAGCACAGATGGCCTTTCAGCTAGTTCCTGAAATACACCACAGGCAAAAGGGACAGAAAGTGGCACTGGGTGGGACTGTCCCTAAACAAGAACCTTCTCCAGCCCTATTTCCCACACACATTTGGTGCCTGCAAAATTTGCTTTATCTGTGAAATAATTGAAGGAGCTCTTCCAAAGAAAATTGAACTCTAATGCACGTATGTGCTCAACTTCATTTTAACACAGACAAAAGGATTTAAGGTTTCCTCAAAGCCTTCAAACACAGATTACTTAAGAACTGTTCCCAGGACAAGTATTCTGGTTCATCAACTGCCTGCTTTGGAAGAATATATGTGCAGTATAAGAAAGATAAATAACAGCATTTATGATTTACTGTCAGTAATCCAACTCACACTGCATTAAGTAGAAGTTTCCTAAATACAATGTACATGGGTGAAACCAAAAGGCAGTCCCATAATATTTTGCACATAATTTACAGCCACATTTATTATTTTAGTTAAAGCTTTAAAAACATGGGAAGCTTTAGTCCTAAGTCCTCAAAAAAAGTTAAAAATTTAGGGCCCATTTTTTTTCCCAGCAGGACCTATGGAAACTCAACCATTAATTTCAATCAAAATGAGAAGTATTCCATTATTAATTGAAACATTTCAGGCATGGTTGCATAGAAATCTACAAGTGCAGTAATGGGTGACATTGCAAGTCTCCAAAGGGTCATAAATCCAGGGAGCTTTCTGAAATGGAAGAAATGTGAATTCTGACACCTTTCCATTTATCTCAGCTATGTCTTTTGGAAAAAGCCCACTCCTAATGCATTGTTATTGCTGGTAGTTATTCACCATTCTCTTGAAAAGATCTGAAGCATTTTTTACACTTCTTTCATCAGCTCAGATTTAACAGGGCAAGTCCTTTTTCTCTGCTGCTGCCTGGCCATCTGTCAATACCAATAAAAATCTACAGAAATCCAAGACACTCAAAATCATAAGGAAACCTTAGCTCAGCTAACTGCTTGCACCTGAAACAACATATTTTTTGTCACTGTCATACATAGAAATTGAGACTCTGAAGACAATGGTTCCAATTTTAATGATGGAAACAAGTAACGCTTTCTCTATTAAAATTGCAAACATTTCCTCCTAAAAATCATCTTTGCCTACCAGAATTGAGGGTTATATTCAGCTGCCAACCACTTTTTAGACTGAATCCACTCTTTAAATGTAACATTTAGAGATTCTATATATTCAACTTGTCTCAGTTACTTCAGGAGTGAGACTCAGTTGTTTTGATTAATGTTTCTAGTGCAAACAAATCACAAAGTGCACTGAAGTGGATAAAAACACAAATTACATTTCTAGTTGGGAATAGACTGTTGTGATTTTATGACATGGCAGCTGCTACTTAAATTTAAGGATTGTAAGAAAATAAAAAAAAAGGAAAAATGGGAAATTAAACCATATGTGCTCCCAAAGTGGTGGTAGATACTTTTCATTCTAATTTCTCTATTCAAGGAAAGTTTTTTTGAAGAGGTGATGAATGTTTGCAAAGCAGTTTCCCAAAGAGCAGTCAGCTGAAATTCAAATGCTAAAACAGCTTCAATTCAACTGCTAAAATTTGGATGGAATGTAGTAATTTTCAAGTTGTGCCTGCAGGCCATAGACATTCTTGTTATAGTCAGTGAGATTTTAATTTTAAAAATAAAAGCTGTTGCAGCCTTGAACTTGCTGAGCTTCAGTGAAAAAGAATGAGCAGCACTTCTCCAGTCTCAGCTATTTCACTAGAAAATAAGCCAAAGCAGCACTGAGAGCTGCAAATGTGCCACTGAACTGAGAGCTGCACTGCAGACACTTTATTTGCATGTCTCAAATGTATTCTTCTCTGCACTGAAGGTGTTTTATTATCACCAGAATTGCCTACTGTCCACAGGTATCAGACTTGGTTATTTCATGGTTCTTCCAGTTCCTCTTAGTGATGAGAATGATTTGTATTTCTCTCTGTCCTGAAGGAATCCTGACCTTCTGCTCCCAGTTCCTGCCAGGCCAAAATCCTCTTCTTGATTTTCTCTCTCACTTACACTCCTTGCAGTGGCCTGCTTGATTTTCCCTCTTTGTGTGCTTTAATAATTTCTGCTGCTTCTTACCTCCATCTCCTTATAAAAATAAAATTAAACTCAACAGAAAAGTATTTACTTCCACAATTCTAAACAAATAGTGAAAGCTAAATAATAGTATGAAATAAAATTAAAATTCAAGTTTACCCACAAGTACATATTATCTTAAAAGGCAGGACAGAAAGGCAATTCTTCCCCCTTCTAGTCCCAACACAAATTCAAAGTTTAAATAAAAACAAACAAAAAAACTAACCAAACAAAAAACCAGCATGTAACTACATATGTATAATACTTTAATCTCAAAAAAAACCAAAAAAAGAAATCATAATTGCTAACACCCAAACAACTGAGTGGCCAATAATTTAGAACACTTGATTTGTAAAGGAAAATTGCCTAATTTTTATTACATTCTCTTCCTAAATAAAGAGCACTGAGAACTCTGCTGGCCTGGAATTACAATTTCAGGGTATTCTCAATTACATACTAAAATAATGATGGTCCCTGAAGGTGTTCTTCCAGATAAAATGGAAACAGAGGCAAAATAAATTCCCAGTGAAAGAAGAAATGAAAATTAATTAAAAAAAAGAAAAGAATCTCCAAGCCTTAATCTGAATTCCTTGAAGCATTCCCTTGAACTTGTAAAAATTATGTAGAAACTCATTCAGACAATTGAAGAAACTGTAGCAAATATTTAAAAGACATACTCTGACAACAGCTTAAGGCTAAATAGGATTCACAAACCTTTTATATTAATTCTAAAAAGATTTGTTGAGGGCATTTGCTTCAAAGTTTCTCAAAAGCTGCAAACCCTTTACAAAATTGAAAAATCCAAACTAACAATACTTCTAGTAATGCACACAGCTTTTTTATCAAAATTGTGTTTATTTCCTCCTCCCTCTCCAACTTCTTCTTTCTTTTTTTTTTAGATATGAAATGTAACTAGGGGTTTTCATTTCAAGTTTTATAATCACTGTAATAAAAAAGGACTCTCCTCTTGTGCTGCATAACAGAAAGTAAAATAAAAATAATTTCATGTGTAGTTAGTGGTATGAAACCAAGAGTTTTAAATGGTTTAGAAGAGAGAGGGGAATTCCATTCTTACAGAGCTAAGTAATTACACCACAATCATAAAGGAAGTTACTTTTTTGGTGGTAGATTCCAAGCAGGTTTCCCCAAAGAACTCTCAGAGCTGCCTAATCTCAGTAATCTGTACTTAACTTTTTGCAGAGTGTACAGTAAAATGCAAATCTTAACTAGATATAGGCTTCAAAACATAATTCTGATACAATTTTTCATCAATATTTGCACTAGAAATAAGTATTTTATTTTCATGCTTAAATCTGCCTGGAAATATGTATCCAGCATCCCCTCTACCCTGATTTCATTAACAGCAAGGCAAAGTCACCCACACTGCTGGGTAACATCACTCAGGTATTTCAGCATTTGTTTCCTAGAAGGATTATAGCAGGAATTAAATGAAAATCTTACTTGACTTCACAGGAATGGATGCTTAACTCTTTGTGGAGGAGTCCACTTGTGAGGTGAAACACCAGGACAGAGCCATTGCTTGTACCTAGAAAAATTGATTTAAAAAATACAGGCACACATATTATTCTTTTTTTCCAATGCTTTAGTGAAAATGCAAGATTTACAGCTATTTCTCTCTCTCTCTCATTTTTAGATACCTGTAACTATTATATTTTACAACTTTATAAAAACTATGTGAATTTCTAGCACTTAAATCACAAATATTAAACCCTCTGCAGCCACTGATATCCACTTGGATCAAGACATTTTCCCAAAACTTTTTGCAGAGCCTGTAGAAAATCTGATTATTCTCCTTGCATTTCCACAGCACACCCACCCAGCTGAAGAAGACAGGAATGTTTCTTTTTTCTTTGATTACTGGAGATAAGTAAACTCCTCAAGGAAATCTTTTAACTGTTATCCCAAATAATGCCAGGGGAGAATCCTGGGTAGATTTTATGGAATCATTAAAGCAATTTTACTTTCTCATCCTGAAATAATGACTTTTTTCCAAATTCGAAATCAGTAACCCAGTAGCTTTGAGCTTCAATTACATCAAAAACCTTCTTAAATACTGAAACTTATAATTTTCCATTAGAACTTCATTATACTCATATCAACTCTATGAATTACAACAATGGATACCTAAAGAGCCATTCAGGTATGTTAAGTCTAAAAAGACCTTGCTGTAAATGCACTTTACACCTGTTTGCTTTCTAATCTTCATATTTCACCTTTTTTAACACTTGCAGATCATGGGAAACCACAAGTTATATTTTAGCAGCATCACATCATGTCATGATGGAGTGCCTATGCTTTAGGGGATGACAGAAAAATCAGCTTTAAATAGGGAAAATTCCAAGTTAATACATCAGGTGCTCACTGGCAACTCTTCTAATAGCTAGATGAGTTTAACTACATTTGTGGCAAAACAGAAGAGATTCATCCAGAAAAAAATTATGTGCTTTAAGTGTAATTTTAGAAATTCATATCACAGTGAAAATAAAGTCTCTGTGAAGTTCATTAGCTTGTTCTAGGAATGCAGGGCTGCAGAAGTCCCTATTTCCTGACATTCAGAATGAAGTGAGAGCAACACATAAAATGCTGAGTGTATCAGCAGTCCACTATTGCAGTAAGTAACAGGATAAATAAAAACTTGCTACTAGATTGCATTTTTTCAGGTAGCATTGCTTAAACCCAAGGCAATAAAAAAGAACCCAAGGACTCAGAACCAAACCAATACACGGGTCACTATCTGCAATAAATGACACAGCATCAACAGACAGATTTTTTTTTCTGTACCAACAACTATATTTGAGCTTAACACAGGATCTGTTCTTTTCAGAGCAATGAATAACCTGCTCAAGGCACTCACCAACAGCAAGGATGGGCTCATACTGTTTGATGTTTTTGGTTGTGAGGGGCGGGCACATGCGGATGGCGAAGGGAGGCAGAGGCAGCCCTGACAGAAGTCCTGTCAGCAGGAATTTCAGGTGTACTTCCTGCAGAAATGAATTCCTCAACTCTTCTCCAGTGCTTGCACCCTGCCCTGCTTAAAAGTGGAAGCTCTTGATAGCATGAAATTTTAATTGGAGGTTTATAGAAAGTTTTCAGACAGGAATTTATGTAATAAAAATTAACAAACATTTTATAAGACATATTTCTTCTTCCTGAGTTTTGCATGATGAAAATTTTCTGAAGACTGGTTGCTGTTTAGAGTTCACAGAGAGGGGATGTGTCAGATAAATAGGCTTCTAAGATTAATAACAAAAAAAATCGAAGTGTTTTGTCCAAATTCCATTTTAAAATATTTTTTATCCTCAAAGAAAATGAATTTGGAACATTGGTCCTCAACATAAAATCCTCAAGAGGAGTAATTTGATAATTTGTTTAGCAAACAGGAATTCTTCTATTTTGGAGTTACTGTTAGAAAATAAAATTCTTACCAATCATGTTGTCTAATGAGAGGTCTGGAAGTTTATTTTGCAATGCTCCTACAGGGATTCCACAGAAGGAGACTGGGGAATACAGAGGTGAAGCACTGGAACTGCTGCAAAAGAAATGGGAATAAGTTCCTCATGCAGGCACCACCTCCATCCCCAGGGGACTCAAACTGCCCCTGCAGCTGTGTCCTGGCTGGGCTGGGGCAGCTCTGTGTCATCAGCAAAGAGCACACCTGCCTCTTGTAATATTACATTTTTCCTGACAAAGATCAATGCTTTAGAAATAACCCTTAAGAATAGAAGACATAAAAACCAATTTAGATTCTAAACCGCTTTCCTGGATATGTAGCACAAGGAATCCATCTAGCACTATTTCTGGGAAAACTAAGAATAAAAACACTATATCTCTGATGAGCAACAAGAGATCTATGCTGAAAACCTGGTAATACTGACATTTAAAATAATTCCATTTTTTCATGGCAGAAGTTATTTATTTTATTCCATAGTACTTTGAAGGGTTATTGCAGCAGAACAACCTTAATACGTTGACTGTTCCAAGCACTGTATCACTTCACACAGTATTTTGAGAGACTGCCCCAAATCTAAAATTCTAAAGGCTCTGTGTATAAAACCATTTTTTATACCACCATGTTCCAGTCACCTTCTGTGCAACTTCATATTGCCCAGTAGAAAGCTATTCCTCTACTAAAAGTGTAGTTCTTTACAGACATTTTGGTCTTTACATGTGACTGAAAGTGAGGGATTCAATCCTAAGGGTAATTATATGGTCAGAAGAAAGCCAAAAGATAGGAAAATGCTCCCCCAAAATAAAACAAATAGTCATTCTATCTTTTGTTTTCTTAGTCCAGACATTCAGGGTGGAACTTCCTTTAAAAAAGAAAAATTAAACACAGTTCCTTCACTTCCTCAAAGAAAGGGAACTGATCTATCTGGATGACAGAATTTGTTCCTCTTTCTTCACTCACATACATGTACAGCACATGAAACACTTCCATGCACAGAAGGATCACTGCTGCCTTTAAAATCCAATGAAATACTGCACATCATTTGGAAAAAAAAGAAACTTTGGTAAGAAAAGTAAATGCCATTACCTGTTGCGCACATTTCTGCCAGAAATGCTGGATTTTAATTCCCAGATCATCACCCTGCCATCGCTGACTATGAGAGCTGCAGCGTTCTCATTCACTGGGCAGCACACCATGCTGAAGGGTCGAACTGTTTTGGTCACCCTGATGGCATCACACTGACTTCTTAAATCATACACCAGCTCCTGAGCTGGCTCTGGATCTGCAACACCCACAGCCCACAGAGAACAGGCAGAGTGAAAAACACAGAATGGGAGCAATCAACAGAGGGAACTGTGAAGCATGACTGAGCACTCTGATTGAAATCCATGTGTTTCCTGTGCAACAATCAGGAAAAGCAATAAAAAACACACCCTTGATCTTGCTGTACACAACAAAGCTCTGCAAAGTTCTCCAAAATGTAACTTTGTAATGTATTATTCCATATGAATCTTGAAAAACCTAAAACAATAACAGTTTCATCGCTGGGCAGAACCTGCTCTCCATAATCCAAAACTCCAGGTTTATTGGTGAAGTTGGAAGCCAGTAATGTAAATCACTAGAAATTAGCAAACTGCCCAAAGCAAAATTAACAAACAGAACTTATTATGTTTTCCCTTGTTTCCAGTCTCCACCATTACATTTACAAGACCATTCTTAGTAACATTTCATGAGACAAAAGTTTAGCAATTCAGATTTTTATATATATTTAAGCCCATATCTTAGGTCTAAAATCAATCTTCCAATTAACCAAATTACTTCCAAAGTCTTGTGTTTGCCTAAAAACCGTTTTTTTCTTACAGATAAAAGGAACACATTAATATTTTATTTACAACATTATTGCATATGTGACTGTTAAGTCACTAATTTAAGTATTATTCAGCAACAAAAGGATAGTCAGGATATTAATAATTATATTAATTAATATAACTAATATAATTAATACAATATATTTCACACTTAATATCAGGGAATTAAAAAACTTTGAATTTGTTTTGGGGATTTGTTTTGGGGATTTGTTTTGGGAAAACACAGAATAAATTTAAATTTAAATTCAATATATAAGAAACAAAACACTAGAAGGGCACTAGATTCGCCATCCTGTATGAGGAATGTTGGTCATTATTGATGTTAAATTATTAATTAAAATGCATCCAAGTTAATTTCTGGACATTTTTGACATAAAACTCACCTGGCTCCTCATTTGGAGTTGCAGTGATGCTGCAGTTGGATCTGCGAACCCTTAAGGTGATACAACCATTTTCATGCAGGCAAAATAACCCATCCCTCTGAAAACAAGGGATTACCTGGGCAAAGAGATGGCTGTTAGATTATATCTTCAAAATCTTACCCTTTGCAAAGGACACTTGCAAGGGAGCCCACAATTCCTGATGTTTGAGCAAATCATTAGAAGTGTCACCATTAAGGAAACACTTCCATGAATTTCCTCAGCTACAGGATTTGTGACTAAGGAGGTCAATTAATTGGAAAAAATAATTGAAAAAAAATGGAAATCTACCTGTATGAAAGGCACCCCTGTCCTTTCAATGGCAATCACACCCACTGTCTGATTCACTTCCAAGTCAAGAATCAGAATTTCCCTGGGATACAGTAAGAGCATGTAGTTTCTTTTGGAAGGCAAATATGACAACTGAAGACAGTCATTGAGTGTTACAGATTCAGCACTGTAAAATCAGACATGAACTTATATTAGGTAATGATATAATGTAATGAACAGATCAGATTCAAAATAGAATTAAAATAGAATTAAAATAGAATTAAGTTTCTAAAATTAAAACAGAATTAAGTTTCATTTTTCCTGCAACTGCATTTTTACAGTTGACTTGTGCTCTATTTTGAGTGCAGTGCAAAGCACCACTGACTTCCATCCTGTTGACTTTTGTCTAAATAAGATTACAGAGTAATTTTAACAATTGCACATTCAAATGGAACAAGAGTAATTACTGCACATCTCAAATCCAAAGCAATTCACTTAGGAACAGCACTGGCTGCCCTGACAGTTATTGGCATTCATGGGAAATTATCCTTACACACTGCTCACTTCAATTTTATACTGTTGTGTGTATTACCTTACATCCTTTACCTCACTACATTGACAAAATAAAGTACACAAAGTATTATTTGAGAAGAAACATTTGCAGCATACCTTGGTTTTTCATTACTGATTAGGATTTTTACTTTATCAAGGGCCTTTTTGGCCCCTGTAGCAGCAGCCAGCTTGTTGTGAGAAGGACTGGAATGAGGACTGGAGATGTAAACTTTCTTCCCTGAGCTGGCAGGAGCTTTGGATGGGGAGAAGTCAGAGATGAACACTATTCCTTCACTGGTGAGCACTGGACCAAGAAAGAAAAATAGCACAATTCAGCCTGCAATTTGATTGTGGCATTCCATTTTAAAGACATTTTGGTGAGGAGAAATGCTAATAACTTTGGTAGTACTGGATCAAAGAGAAAACTCATGATTCTGTACAACCAGCACTTTCTAGCTGAAAGAGCAGCAGATGATCCATTAAAATCAATTAATATCAAAAAAAATTGAACTTTTATATTAAAAACTACTGTATTTATGGCAGAAGCTCAGTTTTTCTCTCTCACCGTTTTTCTTTAAGATTCACAAAGCAAATAGAAGACAAAATACACACTGACTATTTTTTTGTTGTCATGCAGAGCATTGCTCAAATAATCATTAATTCACATTAATTATGTTGCAGCACAAAGCTCAGCTGTACAGCTGAAGTGTTCATAGAAGATTGAATGATGTGGCAGATAAAAAAATCCCCAAACTACAAAGGCTGAAACCTGCACTGTCTCATTACAAGTCAGGAGTGATGAAGCTAAATTTAAGAATAAAATGGTGACTCTCCTATTTCTCTCAGTTTCTTCCTGCTAAAATTAATAAATGTGCACTATATCCCCCTTGACATCTGAATCACTTCTGGTACTGATCTTACACCGAGTCCTGTAAAATGCTTTCTGTTGAAAACAACATTTATTCTTGGTCTACTTATCTCACTGGCTTCTCCCTCAGCACCCATCCCTTTTTAGCCTTTTATACTTCACAGAGCTCTCTATCCTTGGCTTTCTCCAGCTCCCTCTCCACACTTCACACTTCCTTTTGTAAAGTCTCAAACTTTTCAGATCTCAAACTTCTCTTCTCATGCCTGCCTTCCCCCTTCCCACACAGCAGCACCTTCTGAACTAAGATTCCACACTGGCCAAAGGCTCCCTGTCTTTTCTTTCTGACATTATTCTCTTCAATCTATTACTTTTGATTTCAACATTTACATCTCAGTTTAACAATTTTCCTGCTCACACATATCCAGGCCCCACTGTTTTATATATATAAACTTACAAGCTAAATGTGAGGGATCAAAGGGATCAAATGAAAAAGACAGGATATTTTCAGCATAACTTTTCTTCCAAAGTTTGGTGCCTGTGTCTGCATTCCACAATACAATATAATTTGGTGGGTGAACTGCAAGCAGCAAATCTCTGGAAGCATCTTGATTCCACAGCCACTGCATGTCTGTCAAAATAAATAGGAAACAAAATTAATATTTGGGATGGTATCAGTTTGGACTTGGACACAAATATCTTCTTTACTCTAAAAACTTTTTATCAGTCTTAAGCTCAGGAGTAAAATGAAGCTGAGTGTAACACTCAGCCCTTTCAGAGGTGGTAAGAGCTTTCCTTGGTTTCACAGAAAATAAAAGGCTTCATTTGGTCTGAAAACTGGCATGGTCAGGACTTCTTTAAATCTTCAGTGAATTGGTGTATGGAGTAAATAAAACCCAATTTATAATGTACACACAAACAAAAAAAATGAACTGCAGTCAACAAACAAATTTTCAGTGGCTCAGTATCAGATTTAAAATGTTGCATTTTCTTTCACAAGATTTACAAAACAGAATAATAACAAAAAACAAACAACCTAATTCCGTAAGAGGAATTTTATATAATAGATTTTAAAAGCCCACCAGGTATAACGTAAGCATCATCACAAATTTTTTAAATAGCTGAAATGCCCCAAAAAACCCCAACTCCAGCTGAAGAGCAGGAAGATGTACTTGACAATCAATACTGTTCATAAAAATAGATTCTACCTTTTTTTCACAAGAACTTGGAAAACATCACCATAATGAATTAAATCTCACAGCACTCCTCTGGGAGACAGTAAATCTTTATATTTACTCACAAAATGAACAAGCAAACATAAAGAGGGCTAGTAATCCCAAGAGGAAAATTCCCTGTCAGAACCGAGCACAGTTTATAAGAGGCAGGTGATGGATTTGTACACAATGCTCCATAAAACAACTCCCCTATAAACATCAGGCACTATCATTACCTTGGATGGGCTTTGAATGCTCCTGTATTTCACAGCGAGCTGCTCCTGTTGCCACATCCCACACGATGATTTTCCCTGTGGCATCAGCAGAAGCCAAACGTAAGGAATATGGAGAGCCAATATTGTGGTGGTAATTTTCCTTAGCCCATTTAACCTGAAAATGCAGATGGGAATTGGTTAAAGGAGACAAATGTAAGGCACAGACACCATAGTTCATATTTTTCAGATAATGAACTCAATAAAAAAGCACAGTAATAGTTAATGCCAACAGCACCTCTACCATACCTTTAAGCCACCATCACTTGAGTAAATTTAAGGTAGGTCAGCATTGTGCTGCATGGCTGATATTCATAAATTACATAAATCAACAATAGTTGTTCCTGAGGCTAACTACAACAATCCAATCATACACACCATGCATATAGATAATTTACTCAAATATTCAGGGGAAACCAAATGGCAACATTTAAGGTTCTGTGGGCACCCACAAACCTAAACCCACTGACTTCCAATCAAATGAAAGCTGAAAAATTATCATTCCATTCTTATACACATCCTAAACCATGTGATTTTCCTAATCTGACAAATATATTGTGGTATTGGTGAGGAAGGAAGGTTATGTTTAATTTATGTGTTGTCTGATAAGGCAACAAAAACAAGTTGTTGCTGACATTTGCTACCTTTCTGGTTATTTTCAGCACATTGCCACCACTGATTTCCAGGTAACACTTTCCAATTTGGGATTTCAAGCCGTACAGGACTGTAAATTGGCAATACTTATGAGAAATCTGTGTCTTGAAATCTGAAACACTCTGTCTGCAACTTCTCTCAGATTACAAGGGGAGGGATAACACTGACTTCTTCCTTATCTATCCCACATGTCTTTTGCTATCTGCTTTTAAGGTTGAACTTTTGCCCCAGGAGAGACTGCAGACACTGGCAGAATAAAGAAACATTACTGCTAAGCTAATGGGAATTCACCTGCCACAAAAATTCCACCCTCTGTGCTGTCACTGCCTGTCACAGAAAGGGTGAGGCAAACACAGGATTTTCTGCACATCCTGAAAATGTGACATTTAAAACAGAACTGGCATTAGACAGCACTAACTTTGCACCATGAACCAGATTTACAGCAGCATTCAGAGCCCTGCTGCACCTTTGTGCTGCCCCTCTCAGAGGTGTGAGAAGCATCTGTCTCACAAACCAGATGAATAAATTAAACAAATGTGACACAAGCACAGCACACAATCTCTAACTCTATAAACTCAAAGCATGTTTCTACCAGAATCACAAAGAATTCCTGAGAGACTCTCCTCTACCTACAATTTTCATTTTTGCAATTCTTGCTTCCCTGCTGTTCAAGAAAGAACTACCCCTTAGGATATCTGCAGGTGGCTGTGTAACTGTAACTATAAAAACCTACAAAGCCATTTATTTCTCAGTTAAATGCATCTTACTTCAAAGCAAATTTCGTGTCTGCAAAACCTCCTTTCTCAAGGGAGGAGCTGTCACCAAGCTCAAAACAACAAAAAAGGAGATCTTTATATGACCAGCACTAAGCAGAGCCCATGTGGTGCTCCCACACCATGAACCTCTTTTATCTCTGCAGTCACACTGATCCAACAAGTCCCCACACAGGACCTGACCACCTGCTAAAAGAAATTTATTTTCTAACGGTGTTAGTCACTGTCTACTTGACTTCAAAATACAGCAGCATCAGTCAGAAACAGGAATCAGAGGTGACTTTTTAAAATTTTCACCATTCATACCACCTCATGTATAAAGCTTTATTATCACTGTTTATTAATGCATCAAAAAAGACACAAACATCCTTTCAATCTTCTCATTCGTGTGGATGGATCAAAAAACTTCTCTTGTAATTAGATTTTCTTCCATAAAAGCATGCTTTCAATACTCTTTGTAACAGTCAAATCAGATATAATCCACTCCATACAAGTCTTCAGTGCCATACAAACAGCACTTGGACAGATGGACAACCAACATGGATCCATTTTTAGGGAAGCTTTTACCTATTCCAGACAAAGTAATAACAGCCAAAGGAGAGGATGTATGTAAAGGAAAATAGCAAAATGAACTGCAAAAGGATTATTAAACAACTGCTTTTTTCTTTTGTTTTCTTCATAACAGATGTGGTGTGTTTTGGAATTTTTTAGAACTGAGGCACAGGTTTTTGGGGAGAAGATCCCCAGTGGACTGAGGCTGCTATGTGAACCTCTACGCCAAATACTTTAAGTCAGACTTACACAGCAGATTTCTTACAGATCCACTCCAGCTCTTAGCATTTACAAAATCTTAAAAAAAATTAGGAATTGAAGAAAATTTCTCAGCAATGTAAAAGTATCAAGAATGATCATGGCCTCATAAGCATTTTTTATGTAATGCCTATTTCTTCACATAGATGAGAATTTTTTTTCATTATTCCACCTCATAAATTAGCCATTTTCTTACATTTCTGTTCATAAAGCTTCAGGTAGTGGCTCTGCAAAATTATCTTAAAATTACTGGACTTCAGCACTTGTGTTCCTGATGAAATAACTTCTCAAGCTATTGAATGTAACCAAAACTCATTAAAATGCTATCACTGCATAGATCAAGAACTAATTTTGCTACGATTTGCTAAGATAAGTAAAAAATGGTAAAGCAGAAGACACATTCAACCTTTTTCTTCTACCACAAAAAGATCCCACTAAACCCCCCCCACCTAAGACCCTATAATTCTTCATAAATTATTGACAGTCTTCTAATAAATACAGCACTTGTGCCAAGGACCATCAAACACATCTGCCAGCCAAACAATCCTCTAAACCCTACGTGAAATCTGTCATTGTCCACAATCAAAGAAAAGATGAATCAAAGAAATATTACCTGTTCCACACTCACCCAATGTCAAACTCTGCAATTTCAAGATAAGGACATTTAAAGGGAAGTACAGGTACCCTGCACTTAAACTAAAATTTTAGCCATTTTATATCCCTAAGATAAATGTTCAGTTTTGCCTGCTATTGTTCCTTTTCTTCAAGAAAAGAAGGAAAAGCTTGAAAGTACGTTCCTAGACAAATGGTGCACTTCTCCCAACAAGGAGGATCAGAAAGGGCAGCAGCAAAGGGCTTCATTTACTATTTTGTAATGTTCATTTGAAATCTCTTAAGTTAACAGCTTTCTTAGAAACATATCTATGTTCTGTAACACTAACAAGCACTTCCAGATATTCTTTTATATTCTGTATTTTCTAGGAAGATATGCCATCAACCTCAACTCAAATTTCAGCATGCATGATGTGACTTAGCTGCAAAAGAGATCACATAAAAAACATATATTTCACATCAGATCTCATGCCAAAATCACGTGGAACATCAAGTCAAGTATTTACAGTAATATACCATCAACCAGGAACATCTCACCTTGACAACACTGGCTTTGTGTCTTTCCAAAACCTGCAAGGTCTGAGCAGAGTTGGCATCCACTACGAGCACGAGGGAATGGCATCCATATGCAATCAAACCTTGCCAGCCCCTGGGAGAGCACAGAGCATCATCAACAAGGAAAACAGAACAAAAACTCTTCACATCACGAATGAGGGGTTTTTTGGTAAATTGAATGCATGCTACTAGACACCTTATTTGATGTTTATCAGGTGGCAAATACTTAGTGACATAAAAGCTTTATAAAATAATACTGCGCTGTCTGCTGGAGCCCTAAGCCACCACAAAGCATCTCTTTGTGTCCATCTCAGAATCTTCTTCCGTAGTTTAAAACATCACATCAGAATTCGTGAAGAGCGTTCCCAAATTTTAGATGTAAGAACACAGGCAAGAAATATATTTGCAATGATATAATTAATTGCATATATTTTTTTATTTATTACTTATTTATAGGCAAAAAGGAGTCATTACAGTTATTACAGTGACAGCGAAAATCTGACGAGGCTTGTCTGACTTTGGAAGTTAAGCACAGAATCATAGAATGGTTTGGGTTGGAAGGACTTTAAACCCGTGAGTGGCACCCCTGCCATGGCAGGGACACCTTCCACTGTCCCAGGCTGCTCCAAGCGCTGTCCAGCCTGACCTGCGACACTTCCAGGGATGCGGGGGCACCCACACAGAACAATCCCTTCCTGGCATCTCATCCCTGCGACACTTCCAGGGATGCGGGGCACCCACACAGGACAATCCCTTCCTGGCATCTCATCCCTGCGACANGGCATCTCATCCCTGCGACACTTCCAGGGATGCGGGGCACCCACACAGGACAATCCCTTCCTGGCATCTCATCCCTGCGACACTTCCAGGGATGCGGGGCACCCACACAGGAGCAATCCCTCCCGGGCATCTCATCCCTGCGACACTTCCAGGGATG